AATGTGTTGGAATATTGGGATGTGTCCTTCCCCGGGGAAACTGGGCCGCGAAATTGAAAGAAATGAAGTGCAAAAGGGATTGAAGTAATTAAAAGACATATCCGTGTTTAAAGGGGAGTGGGATCCCGCTACAGACCATGTTTCATTTTCTGATTTTACACACACGCTCCTCCGAGATTTTCTGTAACTGCCACTGCTATGCATATGACGAATAAATTATTGAATGATAAAGAATTTGCTAAGTCGTAAAAAGTGCCATCATACTAGATGAGGAATGACTGCGAAATAACAAACCACAGTTGAAAAAGCAATTTTAAAAAATTTGAACCTGAAAAAATCGTTCGCTTTTTTAGAAGCTTACTAATAGCCTTCTGACCTCTTTCATTTCAAACAATATGGATAGTCAATTCCTTTTTAAAGAAATTGTGAGGGCAAACTGAAGAGCAGTACAGAAACCTAAGTTGTGATGCTGCTCGGAACCGTCTCAGGTAACTACCTACTACATAAATGACATGCACACACGTTACTTCAAGGCTTCTGCGCGGGGATTTTAAATACACATTTTCAACAGCTCGCTCAAACTCGCTTTTCTAGGCAAATAGGTAATTTACTGCCTCCAAATTTGGTGAAAAGATGCGCAACAAGGAGCGATTGTATCTGAAATCTTTAAAAACTTAGGGGAAGATTAGATGCCATAGCTTTTTATGATTTGGGTACAGGAGACCTCAGGTCTCTAAAGCAAACATTTTTTTTGTTTCTTTGCTTTCCTTATATCAAGTACCGCCAATAATCAGATGAAAGCATTCCCTTCCTCGTTAGGAACTGCAGGTGTAATATTTTTATTCTTTTCATTGAAACTTCGTTTTTTCAATTGGTGTTTCCTTTCACTCTATCCCTCATAAAAAGTCCAGTTACCTCATCAACGACTTTCTCGTTTCGTTTGTTTGCTGCAAGTACCTCAGTTCAGTCCAACGGTTGTTTAATACAGCATTTGTTCTAGGAAATCTCACACGTTCGGTAAACAACTTTTTACCGCTCTTTAAAATGTATCCGTATGTTATGGAGGATATGGAAGGCACACTCACAGGGCTTTATCCACTTACAGTCGTGTCAATGATTTTTCACACGATATCTCCGCGCTATTACACCGATAGTTGGGTTTTTACTCGCTGTTATGTGAAGAATTTGAGTTTCGTGAAGTGACAGATTAATCATAAGTTTAACTTTCTTCGAACTTGATACACCGCATAATCTTAAAGTGAAGTAAGGTGCGATGGTCATGCTATGTGAAATGTGAACGTCAAGAATGGATTGTGTAATGCACCAGATTGGTCGTCTCGCACTTCGATCAACTTCTATTGGACTGTCGCTTTACTTCTGGGGAGTGCAGAGGATCCATAATACCAAATTGACAACTGTACGGACATAGTATGCCATCTCATTTACAAATAATCCAGCAGTCGCGTAAGGCTGGCATTTGCAATGGTTATCAAAAGGCCCGAGAGTAAAAACAGATGGACACTAGGAAAATGCTGTAATTTCTTTTCTCACAGTGAACTCTGTTGCTAAGGAAGAAACCAAGGCACTAGCGGTGGTGTAAAAAAAACATTGTTAAAATTCCCTAGAGTAGCTTCACTAGCT